ATACTGAAAACGAAATGGCATCAAGTCAATACAAAAATTCACATTCATCTAATCTTAATTCATCTATCTACGAAAACAATACCATGTATAGAAATGTTTCTAACACTCAAAACGTTTCCTACTACAATACTCAGACTTCTAATAACGGAGATTTCACACCCAACAGAAGTAATTGGCAGCATCATAACGATAATTTAAAAGCCGTCAACGAACGATACCATATGAACGAACCATTCAATTATCAGGCATTAGAAAAAATTCTTCCGAACACCGTTAATCCACATTACAATGCCAACAAAAATAATAATCTATCAAATGAGCTGTCAGAAAATAACAAAAACTTTTCGTCTTTCAGCTATATAAAACCGAATATAAACAAAGTCAAAGCTAAGGTAAGTAAAAATAGATTACAGAATAAAACTTTATTTTTTTAGATTGGTAGAATCGCCAGCGACAATGCATTTAAATTTAATTAGGCTTGTGTTTTATTATTGTTAACACGACATATCGAAAAAACAAATCGATATAGTTTTTGTTTGTTTGTACAAACATTAGAATTTGTTACTTAAAATCTTTTTAAGATATTAGAAACAGAAAATAATTGTACATTTTTATTAAAAAAACGTTGCGAGTAGTGGAAAAATCATTTTAAATCGTTAATTTAAAGATTTGTTATGTATTGTCTGGCGAATGACTTATGAATTACATGACAATCAATTCTTTTCACCATTCAGACGTTCTACATCTAGCAGTGTAGAACGCTTTACGTCGCCTCGATTCGGACGCGAAAGTCTATTTCCTTCGTCAGACGAGAATGCCAGGTTTTCTTTTATGTATCCCAATCTTTTAGAAGCAAAACAATCGAATCTGGGTTTTAAAAGAAACGATACATTGGCTAAGAATCCAGTTTTATCGGGTGAAGAAAAAAATTCTGACTCCAATGTATTCCTGGCGAATAATCTTGAAGATAAAACTTTAATAGCTTTAATGAATACGAAAAGTGATTTTGGTGTTAGCAACGTATCTAACTGCAAGACTGACGTTTTGCTAAACAGAATTTCTACTAATCCAATGAACAATACTGAAACAGTAAATGCCACAAGTCTAGAAAAAATTTTAATAATGAATTCACTTTCGCAAGATTTACCAGATAAAAATCAAAACGCGCTTGAATTATCCAATTTCCCTTTTGATTTAGTCTCTGATGAAATGCAAGAACCTCTGAAAAAAATTTTCAAACTTGACTTGGTAAAGTTCTATCAAAACCTTGAGTCAGTTGACGTATCCGAAAAGACGGATAACAATAACAGTTCTGAAACTATTAACGAAAATGCCGACGATAAGACAGCGAGTAACGCTAATTCCATAAATTCAGCCTTCAACATATTTAGACTTTCTAAGTTAAAGTGCCGTAGACGCAATAAGCAAAGCGCTACGGTATGCTATAATCCTAAGCACGATAAAAGTTGTTTCGAACAAGAACTCACAAGCGGATCTGCTATTATGTCGGACTCTGCTGGATTCTCAAGCCGAGACAAGCTAAACGTTTCAGATAAGCGAAATAGTTCAAATTTGTATTCTCTAACGCCAGCACAATGCTACAAATTACGAAGATCTCAACCTATCTGCAGTGAGGACAAAAGACTTGCCGTAAGAAGCAGATTTTCGATGGTGTACGATAAAATCAAATGTGGTTATGAATCTTGTATTGCTTCAGCTAGAAATAAATACGCTAACTCGCCAAAATTTGTTTCTACTCCAATAAAATTATTAAAACACGAAAGTGCAGTTATAGACAACGTTGTCGTTGAAAACCACGCTTCTCATAATACAAAAGCAAAATTGGTTTTCGATACGTTAAAATATCATCAGTCGAAATCTCTTAATTTATTTTCCCATTCTCCCATCGCCAAGCCTAGAAAAATTCGTTCGCCGAAGGAACTTTTGGAAACGCCAGACACCAGTTGCTCTTCTCTGTTTTCGCAGACTTGTTCACCACAAAATCCAACGAAACTCAAAAAATACACAATCAAACCCAGGTTCACCTCGGCTGATCAACTCTCTAATAATCCGCTAAACGTGAGAAAATCCGAGCTTAGTGTTTCAAGGGCTGAACTGACCGATTCTAACCGACACACAGTTGCTTACCAGTACTACTACTTATATAATGACGTGGTTTTTTCGTCTCGTCTCCCGATTAACATCAGCATTCAATGGAGTAGCAAGTTAACTTCATCCTCCGCATACACACAGTATTTCGGCACTAGTTCTAACCAAATTAACAGCTTTAAAATCGTTTTAAGCAAAAAAGTCGTAAGAAATTTTTTCCAATTAAAAAAGACTATGCTTCACGAAACATGTCACCTAGCTCAGATTTTGTTTGAAGGTTCAACAGACCCGCACGGCGCAGAATTTCAGATTTTTGCGCGGAAGGCTTCTTCAATGTTTCCTGAATTGAAAGTTACACAAGCTCATTGTTATTTTTCGTTAACAGAATCCTATGTATGGCGCTGTAATCATTGCCGTTGCAACTACAGAAATTTATCGTCAGAGTTGGACGACACACTTACTCAATGTAAGTCTTGTCTAGTTGGTGAACTGCGACGAACAAAGTAAATTATAATTTATAACAGAGATATAGGTACATAATCAGTCTTTTTTTTATACACGTAGTTTACTGTTTATTTAGCGAGCTAACTCTGACTCTACATTGCATAACCGTTAAAAACATGCAGGACATGCTTTATTCAAGTTTATTAATCGTTTAAATTTATAAAACATGAACCAATTTAATAGTGAATGTGGGTAAGTGTCGTGCCGAAAAACTATACATAGAATTAAACCAATAGAATCTGAAATTCCTAGAGACGAAATAGAAAAAATTTTTCATTCGCAGCACAGCTTGTATGAACCGTATATGTGGAAAAAATATCTTACGAATGATTACGAATACAACGTTGCTGTATTTTCTAGGCCAAAAATGAACTGGGTAGCACGATTATTGTGTGGATTCTGTAATTAAGAATGAGGTCATTTGTTATTGGTCTTCAGAAGAACCTGGTACAGCCGTGGTGCAGGAACCTTAAACAAAAAGCGAAGACGTATGTCTAAGTTACTTGAACTTTGCAGTTCTGTAATCAAAGAAATTCAATCAATTACCAAAATTGAAAAGACTCGCGTAGACGGAAGCGAGATAAAATTTATAACTAGGAATTATTTCATCAACAGCAATGAAAACGAATATACAAGCGAACACTCATCGTCTGATTGCAGTTCATGCACTGGCTACATGAGTTCTTATGATTCTCGCATTAACGAATCTGAAAATTTTTCTTCGTCTTGTCAAGGCAGTTCGACAAAAGCAAACATTTACAAAAAAAAACAACAGATATCTGAAAACTATATTAAGTTTTTAAAAGAGTTTTGCGAGTTCACCAAGTCTTCTCTTGACAAGCCTAATCTAAATGATTATAAGACCCTAATTGAAAAGTTTCCAAAAGTAATGTACGATTCAAACGAATGTACAGATTCGTGTTCTTATTTTTCCGTGACCGACAGTGAAAGTTACGTGTACGATCATATTGAAGCAAAAGCGATTCAAGGAACGATAGAAGCGTTAAACAGCCAAAAACAGAATGAAAATAATAATTTCTTAAACGATGTTGTTCCAGAAGAAATTTCGAGTGAACTGATAAATAACAGCAGTTCTGCACTATTATCGACTCAGTTGTATAGCGAATATGCATGCGCTAAGCAATTATCGGCTAATCTGACTAGTCAAAACTTTTATATTGTTGAATCAAATAACATTTTGAATGAAACCTATAGTGCTGAAACTGAAGGATGCATGTCTATATTAAACAGTTTTTACGAAGCAGACAGTGCGAACGACAGCGCGTTCAAAGAGTTCGCCAGCGTACAGTGCACAAGAACAATAACTAAAAGCCCAAGCATTGAAAAAACAAATCCATTTTCTCTTTTGAGAACTGAGTCGATCAAAACGCATCACGACAGGGAAGTAATTGTTAGCAGCGACAATTTGTGCGAAGTCAAAAGTTCGCCTCAGATTGGTATTAATATAGAAAATGAGTTCACCCAACCGGAAAAACCAACGAAAGCTGCGAGCAAGGAGAGTTGTTACCAGTTATTTGTAATAGACGGATCGCGAATAGATAAACAGTTAACACTAATACCGAAGTACTAATGGCTGGATCATTCGAAATACTTTAGAATAGATCGCATGGCAAAATACGACAGCGGCCGTCCTGTAGTGTTTTGACTAGATAAGTATGGCATTACGACTTCGGAATCCATTTTTTCGTCTTCGTTCTTTTTTGGATCATTGAATTCGTTGTTGATTATTAAGTTTGACCAAATTTCTATAATTGACTGGCATTCTTCAATACTGCATGAAAAACTGAAGATTTTTTAACTGAAGAACTCACCCTAATTTAGTGGCAATGCTGCATAAAGACTCTGACGTGACGAAACAGTCGTCGTTTGAAATCAACTTAATAGCCCATTTTTTTCCTTCTTTGGCAACTTCACTCTATATTTACATGTCAGCATGAGGAACATACACTTTGGCAATACTTGTAAAATCTCTGCAAGTCCATTTGTTCGAGACCGCACAGACCGCTAATTTCTGATTTTTCAGAGCATTTGCCGAGTATCAAACAAATGTTGTCCAGTAACAGTTCGGCGTCTTCTGAAGTGACGTCAAGTTCAATCCGGTTGAACAATTCTAGAATATCATTTTTTGATATGACACCATCTTTATCGTAGTCGAGACAATCAAATATATTTTTATTAAATTCAACAGCTGATCTGTCAATTTCGACCATTTTTAAATTTGATCAGCACGATTTCTACAATAAAAATACTATTTCATTATTTTATTTTATTTTACAAAATAAAAATTATTTTTAAAAAAAAGTTTGAATGAGAAATTAGACAAGACGTTTGTAATTTGTCAAAATAAAGAATAATAAATAAAAACCATGAGCGCTGCTAGGTACCTAAGAGCTCTTTGGAACAAAAAGCAAAGCGATGTTTTTCGCTATCTTCACCGAATCCGTACTTGGGAATACCGACAACTTCCAGTAATTCATCGAGTATACACTCTAACTCGTCCCGACAAAGCCCACAGACTTGGATACAAGGCAAAGCAAGGTTACCTCATTTACCGAGTTCGTGTCAGACGCGGAGATCGAAAGAAGAAGGTATCAAAGGGTATCGTATACGGAAAACCAGTCCACCAAGGTGTAAGAAAGCAAAAGAGCTCTGCGTCTCTCCGAGTGCTTGCTGAACAAAGAGTAGGCCGTAAAGTTTGCGGAGGATTACGCGTTTTGAACTCTTACTGGATAGGCCAAGACGCTTTCTATAAATTTTTTGAAGTAATTCTTGTAGACCCAATGCACAACACCATCAGGAACGACCCCAAAATTAATTGGATTTGCAAGGCTTCGAAAAAGCACAGAGAAATGCGTGGAGTCACTGGTGCTGGCCGCAAGAGCCGTGGTTTGCAAAGTAAGGGTCGCTGTACTTCTCGTCTGAGACCAGGTCGTCGAGCTAACTGGAAGCGCCGCAATCAGATGTCTCTGAGACGCTACCGTTAATGAGGTACTTTATATTGTAAATATTAATTATTAATTTTCATTTGCGCTTGGTATTCACTTTCTGTACAGCATATGCATTTTAGATTAAATTTCCCCGCTAAATAATAATTAATAGATATTTATTTGCTGCACCGTAAAATATTTTGATTCATTCCTTAAAACTACATGATGCATATTAGATTTGACAATTGAATATGTCGAACGAATCCCAGTCTTTGTTAGGTATTACGCGTGAAAGTCTGGCTGATGTATTTAGCACAGACGAACATGTATGGAAAATTTTGATTTTCGATGTGTACGGAAAAGAGGTTTTGGCTCCGTTATTGACAGTTGGCAAACTCAAAAGTTTTGGAGTGTCGTTGCTGTTGCCTATAAACGTCAAAAGATCGCAAATCAAAAACAGTTGTGCCGTTTATTTTATGCAAGCAACAGAAGAAAATTTAAACTTGATCTGCCAAGACATCAAACAAAATTTGTACATGTGTTACTATATTGATTTTATTGACTACTGCGAATCAGAGTTTTTAGAACTGATGGTGACAAAGTTCAACGCAATAAAGCACGAATTTTCCATCAACAGAGTTTATGACCGGTATTCTCTGTTCATTGTAGACAAAGAAAATGTTTTCAATTTGAAAATTGCACACGTGTTGACATACCTGTACTGGAAACCGACAAACGACCTTGAAATAATCAACGTAACGAAAAAGATCACCAAGGGCTTAGTTTCAATCTGTTCAACGCTTGAGTGTTTGCCGGCCGTGTATTATCAAGATTCTGTGTTGCCTTCTAACTTTATCGCGACGCAATTTATAGAAACGATGTTGGGCCATGCAAAACAAACTCCAGAGTCGAAGTTAGGAAATCTGATGTTGCAAAACAAAGAAAGTTCGACGGCACTCGTAATCTTGGACAGACTTTTTGACTTAATTCCAATATTTGCACATTATTGGACGTACGACCACTTGATCTCAGATTTACTAAATCGAAAAAACAACTTTGTAAGCATCAAGAACGTAAAATACGACTTGACGGACGATACGGACAAATTTTACCAAAGTCACCAGTTTTCCGAGTTTTCGACTGTGATATCAGCGTGCGCAAGTAGTTTAAAAACTTTCTCAGAGAAGGTCAAAGGGTTGCAAACTAAAAAAACCAATATAGAAAATTCTGTTGCTCAGTTCGACGTTGATCAAACGCTTAGTGACGCTTCGAACATTTTAAAAGAGAAAAGTGACTTGGATAAACACACAAACATTTGTGAAGCCATGCTTAAAAGAATAAATGCTCGAAATATTGACAAGTTCGCCGATTTGGCAGCTTCCATAATCGCTAGTTCGGAAATAAAGCAAACTCTCTTGTCACAAGTGAAAGCGTTAGCTTTGGATTCTAGCAGCGATCCTTCTGACGTGCTCCGTCTATTACTAGCGACGCAAATTCAATATTGTGGCGAAATCGAAACTTTCATAGATGAAGTAGCCTACGCTCGATTTCAGCGAACACCTTCACCTATAACTTTTTTGCGAAGCGTATTGCAAAACAACTACACAAACGTTCTAAATACGCCTCAAAAAGACAAAACCGTCGAAATCCCAGACCAAAGGTCCAAACTATTTGGCAGCGTGATAAGCAAGAGTAAAGGAATTTTGAAACAGCTATCACTCACCAGTGGTTACAACAATAATATAATTTCCTTGCTGAACAAGATTCTTTGGAAGCAGATCCCTGACAACTTTTTTGTCAAGTATTTAGCACCCGCAAGCGGCACAATCGATCGAATTATTCTGTTTATCATCGGAGGTGGAAACTACCATGAAGTCAAAGAGCTTCAGGAATGGGCGTCAAAACATAAAATAACTCTGATTTACGGTTCTACCGAATTTGACAACGCTGCAGTAAACATAGAAGAAATAGAAAAACTAATATGACGGGTCATTTTGTTGTATAATTTATAACAATGCACAGCTCTCTTAACCAAACTAGCAATTTGCTTGATAAATAGACTTAATAGGGTACAATTAATATAAAGTTATAGCATATAAAAAATTAACAAGCACATATTTAGACGCGAGTGTAAATTAGTGACCCGACGGTTCCACTAACACGTTTAATAGCGCCGTCCTGTTCGAGTTCTTTAAGAGCTGAACGAACTATAGATAAATTGAGTTTGAATTTCTCGCTGAGAATGTATGGAGTAATCACTCGCATTTTTGGTACTTCACTCTTGAATGAACTGTAGGAAGCTGGTTCGAAGTAAACGGTTTTCTTGATTTTTTCCTGACGCCTCGCTTTAGCCCATTTCTTCTTTTTGTTACGAGAACCAGCAGCAGCGGCTGCAGCGATTTGAGCCTTAGTTTTTTTTTCTTTAATGGCCATACTTGATAACAGAAATTATTTTTATAATATTTTTGTTTCGTCTAAATTTTAATGCAAAAAAATTAATTATCGCTAAATAAAGCTACTTTCAATAAATTAGAAATAATAACAATTTTCATAAACCCTTTAGACTTTAAAAATGGTTTAGTTCGTATCAACTACGAAATATTGTCCGCTCAACTTTTGCTCTCTGTCTTTTAATGAATTGTATTTATTAATTCTTGGTCTATAATTAACAGTATCTCTTCTAAACGTTGTATCCAAAATTTGTAAAAATTTGTTCATACCTTGTACTAAATGTTGCGGCGTGTTTGCGTGGCTGTCAATGCCTGGCTCACCTTCGTAAACAATAACACGGTCGGCTAGGTAAGACGCCATGACAAAGTCATGTTCGACAACGAAAGCTGCTTTTTTGCTGTGCAAAATAAATCTTTTGATCATACGAGCCGCATCGATTCTTCTCTCACAGTCTAAATAAGCGCTAGGCTCATCAAGCAAGTACAAATCGGCTGGTTTACCTAGAGCAAGCACGAGAGCGACTCTTTGCAGTTCTCCTCCCGATAAGTTTTTAACGTAGAGAGACTTTAATTCGTCGATGTCCATGGGTTTTACACAGTCGGCAACGAATTGCGGATGAGTATAACTTTCACGTATTCTAGACATAAAGAGTTCTTCAACGGTTCCTTCGAACTTCGCGGAGATCATTTGAGGTTTGTACGAAACGCTTAACTTAGGGAGCTGCACAGAATCGTCATCCGGAGCTAAAAGCCCTGCGAGAATTCGAATAAACGTGGTTTTACCCGTTCCATTTTGTCCTAACAAAACAGTAATTTGAGAATCACTAAAAGAACCTGGGTCTATCGTGAGGCTGAAGCTACCCAAGATTTTTTTCATTGCTGGATATTTATACCTATTCAGAGATGAGTTGAAATCATCAACCTCTTGCGCCATGTGAAACGAGATTGCTTCGTCTCTGAAACGCATATTTTCTGATGGCAGAAATCCGTTCAAATAATTGTTTATTCCTTCTTTAACGGTCATAGGCTGAGATATCACACCGTAAGCACTAGCGTGTCCCCATAGTGCACAAACCATGTCGCTTAAGTAGTCACAAACTGCTAAATCGTGCTCAACGCAAATAACGTAATTTGAGTCGTTTGAACGTTCTCTAATAAGCCTAGCAGCGTTCATTCGCTGTTTAATATCAAGATAAGACGATGGTTCGTCAATAATGTAAATGTCTCGTTCATTTAATAGCGTTATCAAGATAGAAAATCGTTGTAATTCTCCTCCAGAAAGATCGCTAATGTTACGATCATAAAGTTTTTCGATTTCTAAGAAATGAATTAAAGATTTTTGAAAATCAGACAACTCGCTTGACTCTTTAAACACCAAATCTCTTACTTTTTTCATACTCTTTTTCGCGATAGCATCAACATATTGTGGTTTAACAACTACTCGTAAATCTCCTTTGGATAACTGAGTAAAATAATTCTGCAAATCGCTTCCCCGGTAGTACTTAATAATATCTTTCCAAGTGGGTGGATCGTCAATTTTCCCCAAGTTGGGCATGCATTTACCACTAAGAATAGCAACTGCAGTTGACTTTCCCATACCGTTTCTTCCAAGCAGACTAAGTACCACGCCGGGTCGGGGCTGAGGAAGCCTGTGTAATTTAAAACTATTTTCTCCATATCGATGTGAAACATCGGAAGATAGATCTTTTGGCAAGTTTATAATTTGTATAGCTTCAAAAGGACATTTTTTTGTGCAAATACCGCAACCAATGCACAAAATTTCGCTAATATAAGCTATCTTAGAAGCTGGAGTTACTTCAATACATTGCTTTCCTACCCTGACAACTGGACAAAACTTTCTACACTCTTGGTTACACTTTTTTGGTTTACACCGATTGGCATTAATTATGGCAATTCTTAACTTTGCAGTATTCTGTGTTTCAGTTTTTCTAGCCATTTCTTTTTTATAAAATAAAAATACTATTCTATTTTGCTTCCTCGAGAAAAACCATATTTAGAAAAACTGCTTAATCAAAAAAATATATACTTTTGGATTATTTTTATTTTTAATCGTTAAAATCATCTGAAAAATCATCTTCATCCGCTGAGCATGTAAATTCTTCTATCAAGCGATTTCTTTCTTCCAATTTTTTAGTAGCAATTAAGCTAAAGTGTGCAATTTCTGCATTATCTAAATCTAGTTCATCCGTTTCCGTTATAATATCATCAAACAACATTGGATCATTCGAATGAATTTTATAATTAATCGAATAAATACGTTTTTCAAATTTAAAAAGGTCGGAAAGTTCTCCAACTGAACTAAATGTTAATAATAAATGCTTGCACACAATTAAAAGGCACAATCCGAATTTTATTAGTGTTAGCAAAGTTGGATTGTTTAAAAGAATGTAGAGCCATTCGTAAATATGAAAAAACGGTAATACGGTGACTCCAAGAGAAATCCAGTATTTGGATAAATATTGACCACTAACAACTTTTCCAAACAGCCGATTCCAAACGTCTGGTAATTTCTCGTTGACCATTTCGTCAAAAATCATAGTGTCGCGTAAATAGTTATTATTTTGAAACATGTAATAACCTGCACAGCAATTTTCATTGAGGTAAGCAATAATATAAATAATATTCTGCCTCTCTAAAAACAACGACAAATACGATACTAAGTAACCAAGTCCTTGGTGGTAGTCTCCAATAAATTGATATATCACACAAAGTATTTCATAATGATACTGTTGAAACTGTTTAGTTAAAAAAGTTCGAGCAGCGTCCGCATGAAATATGTAGTCAACCTCGTCGACTTTTACAGGAACAGAAACTAAATTGTTTAGCTGGTTGTACTTAGTTTTAAAATCACAGGGTATTAGGTCTAGCAACTTTTGAAACTTTTCTACTACGTATTTTGCATTTGCGGGAGTCACAAAATCATAATTACGTTCTAATAAAACACAATCCTTTTCGTTATCCCAAAATTCTTGTTTCAATACATAAGGAAAAGCTGTTCTATCGTTGAATTCCATGTTTCCAAAGAATTCCCGAAACATCTTACAAAAAATTATTTAAAAACATATTAGAAATAATTTTAGAACCATAATATTCTTTCTCTAAGTCAAGATTTCTGATACATGAACGATAAGTAATAACTTGCCTTCTCAATATATGTTATTTCTGACAATTTTAGGCTTGATCCATGGTATAGTTCACGGTAGCAATACATTTGATAGATGTTCAAGTGATTCTGTGCGCAGGCATGAAAATAATATTTTTGAACCCGAAAATTCTATACAAAATGGTCTTGGTTTTTGGTGTTCAGAAGCTACCTCGACTAATGTTACATGGAAAGGAGAGTTTGATCTTCCTTATGTGTTAGCTGGGTTGCAGATCCAATGGAAATATTCTCCTTCCAAATACAAAGTAATGTACTCGTTAGACTCAAAACAAACTGAAACTATTATTGATTGGAAAAAAACTCAAGTAGAAAATACGGATTACACAGAGACTATTTCCTTTACTGGGATGTCAGAAGGTGTTTGGTTGAACCAAATAATAATTTTAATGTCTTCGAGTACCCAAAGCTACATCGGAATAACTTTGATCACTCCTATTTTCCATCCAACCGTACCTTTTTTGTTAATATCAGGAATACAATCGAAATCTCAATCTGAATATTGTATCGCAACAACATCTAGTAACGCGTTAAATACTGAAACTGCAGTTGTTGATAAGTGTTCATTTCTAATTGCAAAAGGAAATAAGTCTTATTTATGGCAATTCAATCAAAATAATCAATTAATCAACATGATAAATAACAAATGTCTTTCGGTCAACGAGAACGATAATGTGGTTCAATTAACCGACTGTAACGATTTTTCAGCTTTAACCACTAAATTCACACTTAGAGATGAAATCAAAGTAACGGGACATTCCATAGGTACAAAATGTTTGGTGCTAAAACAGAATCATAAATTTAGCAGTGAAGTATTAAATCTAGGCAGCGTGAAAGTAGAAGCTTCAAGTACAAGTGATAATGAACATACTCCACAGTATGGAATTGATGGAAAGTTAAACACGTATTGGGCCAGTCTTTCGTCTGCTAGTCCAACTAATTTTAGAGTTCATTTTGATATTATCTTTTTAGAGACCATAAAGCTTAATAAACTAATCATTAACTGGGAATTTGTGGCCTCCAGGTTTATTATTGAAAAAAGTTTAGATGGAATAAACTTTTCACATGTTTATAAAAATTATTTTAACGCGTCAACGACATCTTTCATAGATTTAGAATTGGTTGAAGCAAAAGTCTTGCGTTTAAATCTGATTCATTCACATACGATTCTGGGAAAATTTGAAAACCAATTTTTGTATGGAATTCGAAATGTTTCAATTTTACGAAATACCTTTGATCTCACAATTGACGATTGCCAAGACAAAATTGAACTCGTTGTGTCAAACAACAAATGGTTTATCGATCACGTTCCCTTAAACGGCCAGGATGCTGCAACAACCCTAATTCACGAAAAACAACAAATCACTGAAAATCTTGAACGGTTGGAAAAAAAAAATCAACTAACTTCTGCAAACAAAATAGAAAACTGTCGAAAAGACTTTCAAAAAATTCAAGAAAATTTTAAAAAAAAACGTGCTACGTCGAATCGTGAACGAGCAGCTACATTAGTTAGAACAGATTCTGATTTTTCAGGTTTAACTCTTCATACTCCAAAACGAGCATGCTACAAGGATCAGACTGGATTTTATTATGTAACAAATAACTGTTCTCCAGAAATTGTACAAAGGGTATTTTGTCAAAGTGGTAAAGCGCTTAAGTTGGAACCATTAAACACTACAAGTGATTTGTTAGACTCCATAAATGGATCTTGTGCGGTCGACGGAATGGTCCCAGCTTCGATAACATCAGCTGGTACACTTAAACAATTGATAAGCTTTAAAAATTTATCGGATAACAAGACACATCCCGCACTTATCGGAGTTGACTATGCTTGCTTAAATTACGGCAGGTGTAAAAACGATTATATTGATGTGCCAATGAGCAAGTCATTAAATAACATTATTAATGAATATACGCAGATTCCAGTTCAAAACGCTTCTCTTATTTATTTAGAATCAGATAATATTTCGGTTGGTAATATTGGTGATTTGAATAAAGACTTCTTTTTATTTTGTGAAATACCGACAAAAAAGTTTTCGGGCTTTGTCGTTACTTTAACTTGTAATACTAAAGGCACTGATCAGATATTTGCTGCAATGCCGCTGTCTTCTCATATTAAAGTTATATGTCCCGACAACTGTTCATTATCACCCGTTTACGGAACAGAAATATATTCACCAGAATCGAACATATGTACTGCAATGCGTCATAGCGGCGTTAAAATCAATTATGATGGTATTTTTATAGTGCACAAAATAAATCAGATTGGGTATTATAAAAGTTCAGAACATAACAACATTGTTTCTAAATCTGCTATTGCGTCAAATACTTATTCGCTAATGTTTGGTGAAATCGACGTAATTTGTCCTATTTTAAATTATATTTCAACGAGTAACAAGCTAAAAACTGGAAAGAGAATAGAACAAAGCGCTGAATTTCAACACAGTTCTAATAATGCGTCTGGGCAAAAAGAAAATTCAAGCACGCTTATGAAAAATAATCATAAAAATCTTGAGTTAGTTAAAAATCTAAACGTAGAAACACTAAACAATAGCTCTATCGCAATCTACAATACTGTGCAGAAATATCAAGAACAATTGCTATCACTAAGCCCTACGACAATACAAGATCAACGGATAGCTTCTATTCAAAAAGGGATCGCTATTGGGTCTAATATTAAAAGTATTAATGCAATAAACAATGGCCTTACAAATAAACTGGCAAGCTTGAGAAAAAATTTCGAAAGAGAATTAGTTGAAGAACGAAATATTTTAGCTAAGCATTACACGGAGCAAGAAGATTTAGAAACTCATAACGAACGAATTCAACGAAAAATCGAACAAACTAAGAAAATTTCATTCACTATACCCGCAGATTGGAAATCAAAACATTTTATTTACAACGCTCATTCAAAGGAATTTCACATAAAGGCTGATAAATCTCAACAAATTAGTAGCATTCTGCCAGATAAAATTGATAATATTTTTCAGCACATTGAAATATTTCGTAACAATGTACTATATGATTTCATCGCTACTTTTGAACTCTTATTTGAAAAACCAAATAACTATTTATCGTTTTTTTATCATTACAAAGAAACTTTTGGAAATGGATATATATTAAATCTGTTTGGTCCATCTTGCCATCTGCTGAAGAACTTTCGAAAAAATCACGTAGACAACAACGGTCTAAACCTTCCAGTTGTATATGTGGTTATTTTTTTTGTGAGAAACCATAAAGTAGACATACTTAATAGTCTTATCGAAGAGGTGGAGATTGTATCTTTGAATAAAATACAAACTCAACTAAAAGTTCGAAAAGGGCTGCATGAGGTATATTTAGATGATAAATTGAGCTTCCGTTTTTACGATCATCAATTTAACAATGGTTCTCTTGGTTTTGCGACTTATAAAAGTGACACAAGTTTGTCATACAAAATAAAAAATTTAAAAGTAAAACCAATCGCTTGTAAGCATAAAAATATTAAAATAGTTAAAGTAATTCCACACCAGTGTCAATACTTCAAAGAAGGAACTGTAAATTTAAAAACACTTCAAGCTCTAGAACATTCGGATGCTGTAATTATACTGACTGAAAACAACGTTTTAGTCATAAATAAGATAAAATCCGACTTTTTTACTAGTAAAAAAAATAACTATCTCGATTTTTCGATTGATAACGGACTTTTATGCAGCCAAGGAACTATTTTTTTTAAGTATAAACTTATAAAATCGATAAGTCAAAAGCCAGCACTAGGTATTGTGTTATACAGCGATAAGAAAAATATTTTTGCAAGAATTGTGTTAGACTGCGATGGTTTATCCTTACACATCGAGCAGCAGAAAAAACAACTACTTAGTTCGGAGTTAAAGCTGCCAGATGCAAATGATATTTGGTACGATATGACAATAGATATTAATATTCCAAATCAATCGATACGAATCAACACATCGCAAGAGCTAAAATTGCCAAAGTTCCAATCGAATTATTATTATGTTGGGCTCACAATGCAAAACATAGAGCATATGGAGCTACAACAGATTTTTAGCCGTCCAGCCTAGCTTGCTAGTTTCTTGGCGGTTTATTTTCTTTATTCCCAGGTTGTGTAATTGGGTATTTTTTATCTCCCATTACAAATATTTCTATACTCGCTTTAATGAAAAGGAAACTGATCGCTTTATCGCACAGTCATCATAAAGAAATTACTTTAGCGCTTAAGTATGTGTCGGTGACGTGCGTTACAATCGGATGCCTGTATCTGCTTTACTTGTTTATCATGCTGACGAGAATAATCCATAATAAAACGTGGATTAAAGCATATGAATACGTTCCATTAAATGTAAGTTTTAAAACTTAAACAACACGTTTAGCCAAACAACAAAAATGACACTACAGTCATCAAAGTATTTCGAGACCACTATGCCATGAAATCTGACTCGTTGGATGCCAAACTTAAATTTGACAATATACCTGAAATTTGCGAAGATAAAGAAGAATGTATCGAAGAAAGACTTTTGAAAAATCTACAGTTCGTTTTGAACATCAACTACGGCTTACTAGTCGTAGCCTTGTTTACTTACTGTTTTATGCTCATAAACGCAACTTCTTCTAAACCAATAAAATATAACACTCTAGGCGCACGCTGCATAGCAGGCTCGTTTTGTTTAGGACTACTCTACATATCTTACAGATTAATTGCAAGTCTAAACAATTATGTTTCGCTGTCCGACACAGTTCTTCAGACTCAAAATACAAACAACGAACTGAGTTATTCTGTCACCAACCCTTTAATAGCGGTTTTTTTAGAACGCTCTATTGCTATATTAGCAGCAACTGGTTTGCTGTTCATTGAAATGGTAGCTCAGAAACTTGAAAAGTTAATTAGAAAATACACTAATACGAACGACGTCAATATGGTTAAAACCCAACTAGCTGCTCATAACTCAAATGCTTTACCCGGCCTAGACACTTTATAAGTTGCATAACACCGCGTCTAATTCATCGTGACTTCTTAATAGTTTAGTTAATGTCAATCAATTTACATGCAGATCTTTTGTATTTTTCTAATATAAGATAAGTGATAAATCATTTGATAAATTGATTAAAACAAACTTTTCAATCGCTTTAACATTTCGCTTTATAAAACAAAATAAAACTTTTATTGCTCGTCTGAATAATTTATTATATATCTTTATACAATCCTATAAATTTTTTTCTAGCGACAACTAAACTAGTTTTTGGCTTTTTCAGTTTAGTGCTCTAAATTAATATACATATTGCGACAAAAATTTTTGAGGCTAATCTATGCTGTTCACTTCAGTTTCTTTACAAGTAAGAGATAGTTTCTACAGATATTAGTACTATTCTTTTTGTTGAACTTCTGAAAAGTAAATACTGATAGTAAATTAATACGTGGCGTTTCAAGTTTATTTGTAGTTTTATCTTTATTACATAGAATTTAAAACTTTGATCATCTTAATTATCTTCAGATATAAAGGTGCTTTACAGTATGTTTAATAGTTTTTAGGCCAAACCGTCATTGGAACGTGTATCTGTTAGCTCATTATTTAATTTTACTGATTTTTAAGATTATATATAATTATACGAAACACAATACATGATCAGATATACTATTTATTCATGACTTTTAACGGTGTCAAGAAATAAACACGAAGGAGTTTGTTTGTTTAGAGTACGAATTTCGTGATAATTGATAAACTAAATATGATTCTTTATTTTTCGTACTTGATACGTTGAACTGTTAGGTTATTTGAGCTCTGAGAGTTTACATTTCATTACAGTGGCGTAATGTATGATAAGAAATAATACATTTAGAATAAGTAATAAGAAAGTAAATTTTTTAGGAATTAAGCACTTTTTTATAACTGCAATTCATGCACTCAAACAATATAGTGGAACCTTCATCAGCACTTCTAGCTTGGAAAGTGGAATAATATGCTTTGTTATGGTTGCATTTTTCGCAGACTTCTTCAACAATAGCTCGATTTTCCAGGACTTCCAACGTCGCATCTAGTAATGTTTCTGAATCTTGAGCACTCGAAAAAGCAGACTTGAAGCGAGACTGCCACCATTTTTTTTTCTTGGAATCGAAAGAGACAATTTTCTCAGTAGTTTTAAATACGTAATAATTATTATTTTCGTTGCACTTCAAGTTATTAGCTCCGTAATGATACAATGCGTCGAGTTTTTGAATTTCAATGTCTTTATGGTTGCAATTTGAACAAGTCACGAGTAATTTTTCTTCTTCTATCTTAAAATTATCCGACACTTTAAGCTTGTGTCCACATAAATTACAACACAAACTATTTAAAATTTGCTTGTCTGTAAGTAAATATTTAGTTTCTGGAGACTCATCTGAAAACAACACTTCTTCATCTTTATTAATTAAGTCATTTCCTTTGAGCAATTGTGTTAGCAAATTCTTGTTAATTTCTAGTGTATTATTAAAAACAGTGCTCCAAAGTGTATTTTCTATTATCTCTTGTTGAAAATTTTCCATTTCGAGCACAAATTTATTTGCGAATAAGATAAATCGCTATTGTTAAAAAATATTTAATTTCTATATTCAATTTTTTTCGTTTTTGAACTTCCGCCTAATCGAAACATACAGTACTTTTGCACATAGGGCAATTTTCAGATTTGTAAATCCAAGGAGTAAGACAGTTCAAGTGATATGTATGTTCACATGATAGTTTAACCATGCAGTCGTTTTGATTTTCTACTAAACATATAGGACACATCTCGGTAGAGTTTGTGTTTTTAGAAAGCAAGAAACCTCGTTTCAGTTTTTCTTTTGTTTCTTCCAAGCTGTTAGGGTATTCATAAGCTTCATTATTCAACAAATTATTAGCATCTAGAATACGTTCAAAGGTAACGGCGCTTTGCTTTTTAACCATATTAATCATAGCTTTAGCTTGCAAACTAGCGGGAAGAGCGAGAATCAAACGATAATATTTTTTTGGTAACACATCCAGCCAACTTGGTATTATTGGCGAACCAAAAAATATTCTAGTGGTTTGACTAACTCTACGCATTTTACTTTCAACGTCAACTTTATCTATGAGCTCGCAAATGTTGCTAACCCAACAAGATTCCGTATGCAATTGAGTGGGCAAACTTCTTGGAACAGTTTTTAATATTTTAAACTCAACACCTAAATGAGTAAACCTGTCTCCTTCTACGTATCGATTGACATTGTTAATTTGTAGATAAGGCAATACGAATTCACGAAGTAAGTCTTGCGATCTAGTAATGGAAATCGTGTCGAAAAAAGGACTAATATATACTTCTTTAAATTCTCCTTTATCGTCTATATCATAACTAATACCCACGTCTGAATTTATCGCAGTTATTTCGTTATCTGAAGAATTATTTGAAATTATTTTTGTTACAATATATCTTATCTTATTAATACGAATATTTATGCCGTTCGTTAAATATACTACTTTAGCTCTATCAATATATTTACTAATTACTTTAGTAGCCTTTTCAGCTACTTTTGTTGAAACAAAAAATTCATCAACGTTTACTTCTTTTTTCTCCTTAGAACCGCTATTAAAGGTTATTATTGATTTAATTTTTTTTTTCGTATCTTCAACTATTTTATTTATTGACCGTTTTTCATTATTCATGTCATAGTTTTTGGCTAATCTAATCCGTTTACTTCGCTTATAATTTTGCATATCACTAAAACTGGCAAAACAAATTTTAATTTCTTTTGCAAATTCTTTAATACATGGACCTATTCTAGGATCCACTGATTGGTTACGAAGGTATACAATTCTCTTTACAAAAAATATATACTTGTCCACGTACAGTAAGAAATCAAGCTCATCAATTGTTTGACAATAAACTTCGACTGAATCAAGTAGCACAGACATGTTGTAGTAACTTAGTTTGTCATAATAGATATCTGTTGTGTCCAAAGACTTTATTGACTCTCCATTAGTATAAATATTATATTTTTTCTCAAATACCTTTGCGATCTCGAAAGTTGTTATTTGATGAAACAAATACGACTTTGTCATTATATTGATTAATCAGAAAATCTAATTAATTTGATGAATTTTATTTTAGTTTCTTTTGTCAAAAATATTAGTCAAATTAAACGCATTTGAATCTAACAATCTTTGTGATAAAAAATGAACTTAATTTGACAAATGGAACTCAATATTAACGAAACTAAAAAAAAACGAGATCAATTATCAAGTCACAATCGACTGATCTCTCAATCACTTAGTATTAAAAATGATAATAAGAGTATTTTACCAGAGCAAGAAATAGATCACGCAAATGAAGCTATAGTAAATAATTTGAAAACTTGTAACAACGATGCTATTTGCAATTCGGGCAATCAAGAAAACACAGAATGTAACAATTATGCTCATGTTCAAAGAACAACACGAAATCAAATCCAAAAACTGACTAAAGATTTTGAAGTAAAAACAGATTTAAGTTATGTGACCATTCCAGATCTGTCTGATAGTGAACTGAGCGAACAATTATCAAATTTTTCCGCTGAGTATAACGATAATTTAGAAATGTTGTCAAAACCTGAAAACAATCCACTTTTTGGCATTCTTGCATCTGAAACAAAAAAAAAAAATGTATCCAGATGCAAATTGTTTATGATGATAAACGAATATAACGTTTGTATTCAAAGTAATAAATCTCAGCAAATCGAAAAAGGCGTTCAAACAGAAACCAGTCACACTTATACAAACAAACTTTTTTCCATGTTAAATAACTTGAGTCATTCTTTGATTAGTCAGTCAGCTCCTCCAAATGTCTCTACGAATGATCAAACGAAGACGATAACTCGAAGTGACGGAAATAAATCTAGTTTTAATTCTAAAATTTTTTCTCACAGTTCTGAATCTTCTCGAAACGAAAATAAGACTAACCTAAAATTAAACACAAATTTTTTAGCTAGTAAACAATTCAACAAGGAAAGTTCACCACACGATGTTAAAAAAATAGATGATGGAAAAATAACTTATGCTGACATTTATGTTATGAATCAGAGAATTGACGAAGAAGATATATATAAACCAAATAAATTTATGAGTACGAAATATACACAATCTCATCAACAAAAAGATTATTATCAAACATCAGAATCCGTAGACACTATTGATTATAAATTGATATACACTCCAAGTTTGAGTAATCTTAAACAAATAAAAAAATTTAATTTACCTAATTAATTTAAAAGTAGCGTTCAAAAAAATATTTAAAACTAGGTAATAAGAAGTGAGTTATTTAAATACTTATGTCTTCGTCGTGTCAACAACGAAATAAATAACGTCGAACTAACAACGCAATAATATACGATTATGCTTTAAAAAATAAATATTTGAATTTACAATTTTTAGTTTTATTATTATAATCAATAAAGAAACGCGATTTATCAACAAAGTTGCCAATGTGCTTCGATAAATTACTCAATTACTATAAGCAAAACCATAAATCGTTAAGTTATTAATGAGTAAGCATGATAAGGAAGATAAGAAACATTCATTAAAAAACTTAGCCAACCGTCTAGGCAGATTTATTTCAGACAAACATTCTAACAAAGACGAAAATGAAAGTGCTAGATCCAATTCTTTTATAAATTCTCATCCTATCTGTAGTTGTATACTGAAAGGGTTGTCGATAGACGAAGATGCTTTGATAGCTTCAAAACTTGAGCCTAATGAACTTTTATCAGTTTCTAAATTATTTAATGAGCTTACAAACAGAGGTAGTAATAGTATGGGTATTGATAGGATTGGATTTCGAGCTTATATTAGAATGCCTTTAATGTGGTCTGAGCAACTTTTTTCAGTGTTCGATACGGACCAGAAACAATATATTACCTTGAAAAATTTTCAGTACGGTTTGGCTTTGACTTGTCGTGGATCAAAAACAGAGAAAATTGCAGTTTTGTTTAAAATGTTCGATTTAGACAACGACAATACTGTTAATAAACACGACTTAACAGTTATGCTTAATAATGCTCCTGGTCTTTTAGATTATTTTATTTATGAAAATGCCTCTAAAAGGTCGCCACATTTTTTAACTCATCTAGACAGTTCCACGAGTCGCAGTACAAATGATTTATTCCAAGATAATAAGCTTAAGTCTTTAAAATTTTCAAGTATAGACGATCTTTCAAGTAATTCAAAATCAAGTTTGTTAATCGTAAATAATTCTTTGGCACAAACACCGTTAGTTTCTAAAGCTTCTGATAATATTGATTCTCATACTAATGAATATAATTCTTTTTTACAATCTGGCTCTGACAACTTAATTTTCGAAAACAAGCAATTTTCTCATGTAAATACAAAAAAATATGAATTTTCGTTTCCAGACTGCAACCAAACGGATTTTGAAAATGATTTATTATTTAGTTCGCATCGTTTGCCTCAGGGATCGAATAAATTCAATTTAAGTTCTAGTTATATTTTTCCTAATAATGATCAAGGCAATTCATCGCTATACGTGTCAGACGTTATTAATGAATCTAACCAAATTGAATCTCCTAACATTCAACTACATCAACTAGAACTAATAATTAATAATATAATCGATACTTTTGATGCAACTGGAACAAACTCGTTGTTTTTTGATGAATTTAAATCTTTTATCGAGCACAATCAAATTATTTTAGACATGTTTGAATATGGAGTAGCAGAACACATCTGGAGCATCGAAGGTTTAAGAGAATCAAAGAAAGAAATCGATCATAGTTTCAAGAAAATTTTTTTGCAGCGAATTTATGACATTTTCACATGTAACAATTTTAGAACTTGTTCTTTACTGGGAAACAACTTTCCGATAAGTTCAAAAGAACAGATAGGTTTGCATAAATTTCCTACACAAAACTATTCAAATTCAAATGTTCTTGAAAATGCAGAAAGCAAGAGTAGCTATACTAAACCGTCCATTTCTATTACAACAAATAAAGCATCTTCTAATCTTGTAAAATCATCTACGAAAAAATGTAATGGAGATGTAAATTGTCCCAACTGTAATGAATATTACATTGTTTGTCCTACCTGTCAAAAATCACAACCAAAGTTAGTGTTTGATGATAAATTGAACGTCTCTATTGATTGTGCCTCTTGTTTAGATGGTTCTTATACAAAATTTAACACTTGTTGGAAATGTAATTGGTCTTTCAATGAGATATTTCATTTACTAAATGTGAACCCTGTCGATTTACTTACTCATTCTTTAAATTACGTTTATTATTATAACAATGGCGTTACTAAAAAAATCAAGTGTATCATAAAAGACATGTTTCTTTATTACTATGAGAATGATACTTCCACCATTTCCGTAAATTACATTTTACTTAACAGTTGTTTTTTAGAGCAATTTAAGTTTTCTTATTTTGAATTGCAAGTACTGACGAAAAATGCGTTAGAAGATTTTAATCAAGAACTTGATTATCACATACTAAAATTAGCGCCTAACGATTCAAACGAAAAGAAAAACGTTCATTATTTTATTTTTACCAACCAGGCAGTTTATAATTTTTGGCTATCAACGCTACAATATGTTTTAGCTCAGGAATCTGTTTCAGATCTTTATGACATGCACGAGCCTATTGGTTATGGTCGTTATAGTGTAGTTTATAAAGCGACAAATAGGCGAACTAGAGAAATTGTTTCTATTAAAGTAATTAACCAGAAAAAGTTAAGCGATCTCGACAGAAGTTTACTCTTTAGTGAATTAAACATTTTACGAATTATCTCACATCCAAATGTAGTATCATCTAGAAACGTCTTTAGTTCTAAAAATACGATTTTCATTATAATGGAATATGTTTCAGGAGGAACTTTATTTCAGTCAATATCAATTAATTTAACTTTTTCTGAATCAATTGTGCACAGATTTTCAGTCCAACTATTGAAAACTTTAGAATATCTGCATAGATGTGGCATAATACACAGAGATATCAAACCTGAAAATCTGTTATTGACCTCTGAAAATTTGGCTGTTTCCAACATAAAAATCGCTGATTTCGGCTTATCATGTCTTTGTTCCCACACAACAAAGTTAACGCAGGCTTGTGGTACACTAGTTTATGCCGCACCTGAAATCATTTCCAACCAAGGATACGATCACAAAGTCGATATTTGGTCTGTTGGGGTTATTTTATATTTAATGATTTCGTCAAAATTTCCATTCCCAATGTGTCAAAACTCACTGAACGAGCCCATTGATAAACTAAAAAATATATTTAAATTAAAATTTGAGGAGCCTGAATGGAATAATATAAGCGGTTCTTGCAAAGATTTCATTTCAAAACTTTTGCAATTCGATGCAAATGCTCGATTTTCTTCAGAAGAAGCATTAAAACACGTTTGGATTAAGCATCCTTGCGCTGTTTCAACTAACTAATTAAGTATAAATTTTATTATTTAAATATTCTAAAATTTAAATTCTACTATCTAACCATGACTCAAGATATATTGCAGTAACTCTATGAAGCGAAAAATACTCCGCAGAACATGTTTAGACGAAGAAGAAAATATTTCCTCACAAATTACTGATATTATAACTAAATTAGAACACAATAAATTGACTAACAATGTTGAAGTATTCAAGAACAAAATTAATACGTTTAATGAAAACAACAAAAACACACATATAAAAGAAATTTTAAACAAATCTACGTCTGATGAAAAACTTACAATTTTTGATAAAATTAGTATCACATCTTTTTTACCAGTTTTCATTCGAAAAACATTGCCTCAATATCAGCAACTTTATACTGATTATGACTATGTTTTTAGTAGTTCAAAATTTAGTTTTTATAAAGCTTACGTGAACGTTACAATAATAGATTTTACACGAGCTAAAATAAATAATACTAAAAAAATTTGTCAAATCATCAAACAATGCCCAAATACCAGAGCAGTACTAACAACTACTTTAAATATACAAATTATTCGAACTATTCAAACTAATTTAACTTTTTTTGAATCGATCGATTTTTCTAAGTCTCAGATTATTGAAGAGTTTAACAGTATTATAAATTATCTTTTTACCAGTGATATAAAAAATTGGAATATTGTTGTTTTAAATTATTCACAATTTATTAGTTTACTCGTCCTTGACGTTTTAAAAAACATCACAGTCAAATCAGTATTTATTCATATTAATTCAAATGTGGAGCTTCTTGAAATTTTAAATCACAACAACCAGTACCTCATAAGAAACGTACAAAAAATCACATTTCACATTAATAATGACACCTCAATTAAGTTTCCCAGTTTTTATTCAATCGATTTAGAAGTACTTACAATACAAGGCTGTGCTGAATATTCTGTATTTGAACAACTGTTGTCAGCTTGTAATTTTAGCAACTTAATTGAATTAAATTTGCTTTGTGATAATATTTATCCTTGTAAAAGTCAGATAGGTCTACATTTTCCTTTAATAGACTTAAATGCTAAGTTTAAAACAATTAAGAAATTAAAACTAAATCAACAAATCGTAAATATATTATTGGTCTTAAAACTTATTTCAATTTTTTCTTTTTTAACAAGTTGTTACGTTAGTGAAATTGAGTCAAGTGATTTTAACGATGACGCTCATATTGTTAATAAAAATAAACGAAATATCATACTTTTTTGTTCAGGTATTGATAACAATTATAAAAAGACTTTTACTGTTAATAAAATTATATACCGAAAAACTCCTGGTATTAGTTATAGCAAACAAATACTTTACAATTATTATAACAGAATTCACCCATTTTATTTACATTTTTAACCTATTAAAATAAATTGCGTTTAGCATAATTCAATCACATATTTTTTTAAATGCTATTTTTAACAATTTTTTTGAATATGTTTTTTACCAGCATAAAGTTTATAAAAACAACATACAACAAACTATTGCAATTTTTTAATTTTTACAAACCTTGATTACGAAATAACATAAATTTCTTTTTGCCAAGCACCCATGGAGTCGACTGAGCGGTTTTCGAAAGAATAGTTCGCAACTCTTTTAGCAATGTTTTCGATATTCTTTTTGTTTTTCTTAATAAAGAATAATACCACTAACGACATTAACACACTAACTCCAAATATACTTATTACTCCAGGAATCATCATGATAAAAAATAATTTTTTTAATTTCGCAATAGTCTCTACACGCTTATCTTTATCTCGTTCCAATTTTTGTTTTTCAGACTCGATAGTGTCATTATGGGCCTGAAGTAATTCTATGTTTTCGTACGTAATTTTAGTTTTTTGATTTAACCCATTAGCCAGACTGTTGAGACGGTCGATACCTACAGCTTCTTTTGCTTCTTTTTGTCTAAGTTGAAGATCTACATAAGTTGTATATAATTGTTGAACTATGACCTTGATTGAATTTGTATAAACTTCAGACTCACTTGACTTATACGTGTTATATAAACTTTCCCAGTTATTAATAATCGACTGAATGTTATTTTTAACTTCATTAAAGTTAGCAAGGGCATTATAAAAATAATTTGTTCGACGAGAAATCTCTTCCATTGTTTCATTGAGAGTATTTATGGAAGATTCATTTTCAGCGATTAATTTTTTCATTTGAAATTCGACAGTTTCTTTATGTTTTTCATCAGTTACGTTGTCACGGGCTTCCGGTGAAAGATTATGTACTTCTGGGTCATTTTTATCTATAGCCAAAGTGATTTTAGATATCATAATAAAAACGATTATAAGTTTAGATAGTTTTGAGGAAAGAAGCTTCATTTCCTGAACACAAATTATTACTATTCTATTCTAAAGGAGCATGCTCCTATTTACAAATCAAACAATTTGTATAAAAAAAAAGATACGTATTTAGCAACAATAAATAGTGTAGTTATTTGATTACATAGAAATTTGGCAAGTTAAAATATTATATAAGAATGATCACATCGGAATTTTTAATTTAATTTCATAAAAATTCAAAATATGTAGTAACTGATCAAAAATTATTGAGTTCGTAATATTGAAAATAAATCGTAATATATTCTATACCACAAATTTTTCAGCTTTGTAGTTGGAAATTTCTTAGATCAAGTCAGTATTTGATATTATTCCCAATTCTTAAGATCTTTATGATGTTCCGCTAATGTCTCTTCGTTGTTTAAATCATTTTGAGATTCTTCTATGTCAACATTGTCATTTTGACTTTCATCGTCAAACGTTTGATCGTAATCATTTGTTTCAAGTTCATAATCGTCTTGATTTTCTTCATTATAATCGTGATTTTCTTCATAATAGTCTTGATTTTCTTCATTATAATCGTGATTTTCTTCATAATCGTAATAAACTTGTGATGATTGATCATTATATTCAGCATATCCTTCCTCGCCATATTTTGCATTATCGATATCTTGATCATTTTCAAGAGAGTATTCAGATTTAGCTAATACATCCTCGTTAATCAAATTTGAATCTTGTTCGTAGTCTGGGGCCTCCATATTTACTTCTGCGTTTAACTGTGAAGATTGATCTAAGTTTGATAAAACTGCAGAATTGTTGGCATTATAAACAGATGAATTAATATTTATATCGTTCGTAGCATCATAATTACCGTGATCTTCTAATTCAGACTGCACTGCCAGAGAAGGTTGTTCTTGCTGAACATAATTCATATTATCAAGAATTTCAGCTTCATTGTAATATGGCGCATCAGGATCAACGTAATTACTGTTTTTAATCGCTTTTTGATTAGTTTTATCGACGAATCTTTTATTGTCTTTAACAATCTTTACTATAAGTATAATTTCTAATATAATAAAAATAACTTGTATACCAAATATAATTGCTCCGTAAAAGTAAATATTCTTTTCAAATAATTTAAAATTGTTCAAAATTTGTTTAGATCTTGAGATTCTATATGCAGAATTATTATTGAACTCGTCTGTTAAACTTTGCAATTTATTAACTACCTTGGTTAATGAAGCGTACCGACTACCAAGATCAGATAAACCATTTGCTACAGTATGCATAACATACTCTATGTCTTTAGATAAAAGAAGTGATTTATCACTGAGTTGCGTCATTGTATTATATATATTTTTAATATAGTTTAAGTAATCCGAATTTTTTGATAGTACATTGTAAACTTCCAATGTCTCTTGAAACTTAGCAAGTTTTGCATTAGCAATTGAAATTTGATTTTTTAGAAAGTTCGTTTTTTCCTTGGCATCTAAGGAGTTTAAAGAATTTTTAGCTAGACTATTTAAATTTTTTAATAATATTGCTAGTGAAGACGATATGGTTGTTGAAGTTTGTTCATAATCTGAGTCACTAAGACTCCTGTAATAATCGCCAATAAAATCTGCGCCATTCTTTTTTAATAAATTTTCTGTTAGATGATATGCTTTTTTAATTGTTTCAGGATAAAATTCTTGTAAAGCGTGCGAACTAGCAGACATTATCACCAATTTACCCGCATAATTTTTTTCATTGTTAAAATAAGTAGCAGTAGCTTCTCTTGTATCTGTACCTGGTAAAACTAAAAAAATTTTTTTAGTAGACTTTATCTGAGTTATGTTCGGTAGCAATAAACGTTTAATAATTGGTTCAACAATTTGATAATTTTTTATAGAATTTCTGGAATCCCACCAAATTTTTTCATCATTTATCTGATCTAACTCATCTTTTTGTAATGCTGGATCGAAAAAAACGATATCCCATTCATCGTTCTGCGATGCTGGATCTAACTGAGAAATTTCAGTACATCCGAGTTCATTTAACGCTGTGATATTTTTTTCTTGATCGTGAAGTATATAATGGCAGTGTTTTATTTTATCAGTAGCAATAACATTATGTGAAAATAAAATCGCCAATGTGAGTATAATAGCTCTCATTAGGCAATAACATCCGGCAAAACGTTGTTATAATAAAAACAACTGCACCTAAGAGTGCATTTCATAAATAGATTAAAAAATAGACTTATAACATTTCGAATCATATAAAATTAGCTAACAAATTATAGTGCGTTAATAGTTAATTTTAGGTTTTATGTGTAATACCCAACAAGTAATCATACCTAAAAATTTTTATTACAAAAACTCATCCTCATAATCATAATCATTAACAAAGTCATTTGTTGGTTCTAAATCAACTTTGTATCGTAAAATAGCGCCAATACCGCCAAAACCTTTAACAAATTGCTGTCCTTCTTGACTAGAATCAGTGATTATTTCTACAATTAAACCATAATCTTTGTAATTTTCTACTATCCATTCTACAAAAGATTCCTGTTCAACTACTTCATAATCTTGGTTAGTTTCAGGATCTGTATACGTTGAAACATTGTTAGAGTGAGCGACGAATTGATAAAAAATAGTTTGCTGATTATTATCTTTTAAAGTCAATCTTTGAACCTCTAAATTTTCCCAAAGAATAAGAGTTTCAATGCAGCCAACATCAAGTAACTTGAGCGTTTCATTTGATCCATAAACAAATTTTCCTGAATCAGTTGCAATTTCTTCAAAAAACGATTTTATCAATGCTTTTTCATGCAATATTTTTAAATTTGATAAACAGTCTCTAGATAATTCAATTGCCTGATAAAAACCATTTAAGCCGCCGTATGAGATATCGACTATTTTAAGAATTTTTGAACTCAACCGTGAATCAAACATATCACTTTGCGCTAGTTCCGATTTAAAATCTGCAGATCCGGCCAATACTAGCCCGACTACATTGGGTTTGTCGTTCGTGATGAATAATTTTGTAGCGACTTCAGCTACTCGTCTAACATAATTATGGCGTTTTTCTACTCTAAGTCGAGCGAATCTAACTGCTGATTGCCCTCCACGACCATGTTTTTTTGGTAAATCGATAGTGAACTTGTATAAAACTTCACTCCGGCTTCCTTGAAGTTGGCCGAAAAGAGAACCATTACCATCCATAACAATAAAGCCAATTTTATCATTGCTATCAAGTAATTCGTTTAAAGGTTCTACATGAAATTTATTATCACACAAATACAATGACGCATTTATCGGTTTATAAGGTTCAAAGCCTATATTGATTTTTTTTTCTTTTCCATCGTCTGTTAAAACTGTTCCACAAAATATAACTAACCCATTAGGAGGAGTTCGAGAAAAAGTTTTTAGCTTTTGTTGAGTTGATGTGATTGCTGAAAGAACAGACAATCTATTAACTCTACTTTTTATATTTGAAGCTGTACCATATTCATCCGTTAACAACCTATTGATACGACTAATATCATCCTTAGGTCTGATAATCAACGAAATCATTGATGTACCATTTCCTCTTGCTTGAGATAATTGTTTTATTATTTTTTTCAGTTTAAAATGTGCTATTTGTTCTTCATGTTCTGCTTCAGTCAATTCCTTTGTCATTATAATTTATTGTGAATATCAAACTAATTTAAACGAATTCATCGAAGTAATTTAATTTTTTTTTTATGAAGGTTCTGTATTTTTTTATATATCAAAAATTTTTATAGCTATTAATAGTTATTATTTATGATGCATAATAAAAGATGTTTAAAAAATGGCGATGATCAATTGATAAATTTTTTCCCTGCGAATAGTGAAGAATATCATGTAAAGTAAGTTTGACAGTTTAAAATTTTATAGTTTTTAGAGCAGGACCCGTTGCTAAGTTGCAGGAAAAAGATTTCCAAGATGAATATACCTTGAGACACTTAAATTCACATGTAGAAAATATGAACAAGTGGAATTTATTAGATCAGAAGTTTGACGTTTCAGATCAGCAAGTCAACTACTTTAAATATATTTTAAGTCATGAAGATGAAATCACTTCTGTTGAAAAATTTGAAAAAATTTCTAGAATCGCTAGAAAAACTTACAAATGTATCCTATCCAAGCAACAATTAAACTATTTATATAAAAAATATATTAAAGAAAACCCTCAGGTGCCTAATTCTGTTTACAATTTGGAGAAGTATTTAATCACTAAACAAGTTCGAACAACAAGTGGCGTTTGTGTAATAACTGTCTTGACATCTCCGGGAGCATTTAGCTGTCCAATGGATTGTTACTATTGTCCTAACGAACCTGGCCAACCTCGTTCATATCTGAGCACTGAGCCGGCAGTACTTAGAGGAAATCAATGTAAATGGGATCCAGTTATTCAATTTTGGGATCGTGCTCATACATTGTTAAAAAATGGCCATACAATCGACAAGATAGAACTTTTAGTTTTAGGAGGTACTTGGAGTGGATATCCACAAAATTATCAAGAAGAATTTTGTCGTGATTTATTTTTCGCAGCAAACACTTTTTACGACTGTATGGATTTAATCAATCTTGAAAATGACTGTATTAATAATCAAAAAGATTTTTCAGAAAAGTTATTTTTGTATAGAAATCAAATTGTAGAACCAAAAACATTATCTGAAGAGCAAACCATAAATGAGAATTCTCGTTGTAAAATTATCGGTCTAACGCTCGAAACAAGGCCTGATTATATTAATCTTGAAGAAATTAGAAATCTCCGTCGGTTTGGTTGCACTAGAGTTCAAATTGGTATGCAACACACTAATGATACAATACTAAAGTACATTAATAGAGGCCATGACTTGATGACTGTTAAAAAAGCAATAAATTTACTAAAAACTAATGGTTTCAAAGTAGATTTACATATTATGCTTGACTTACCCGGCAGTGATATTTCTTTAGATACAAAAATGATGATCCAAGTTCTTTCTGATCCACATTTACAAGTCGATCAATGGAAAATATATCCCTGTGAGGTAACACCTTTTTCTAAAATCAAAGAATGGTTTGACGATGGTATTTATATTCCTTACACTAATACTAAAGAAGGACTTAAATCTCTTTTTAATCTAATTTTATTAGTTAAACATGATATACATCCATGGATTAGATTAAATAGAATTATTCGGGATATACCTTTAGAAAGCATCGTTGCTGGTACGAAAAGTACTAATATGCGTCAACTATTAATGGAAGCGTCTAACAGGCTGGGTTGGTCTTGTTCCTGTATGCGTTGTCGTGAAATAAGAACCTATAATCTTAAAAATAGCTCTACCCTTGTAATTAGGTCTTATGCACAAACTGAGGAAGGGATTGAATATTTTATTTCTATGGAGTCAGAAGACAGACGTTATTTATTAGGTTTTTGTCGACTTAGACTCAATACAAAATTAGCTAAATCTAATATAGCTTTCGACGCCTTTAAAGATTATACTGCTTATGTACGTGAATTACACGTTTACGGTACTTTAGTTGCTACGACTGAAAATAAAGATACTAAAGATAAAAGAATTCAACATAGCGGTGTTGGTTCAACTTTGATGATGGTTGCTGAAATTATTGCAATTTTAAAGGGCGAAAAAAAATTGGTGGTTATAGCAGGTGTTGGAACAAGAAAATATTATTCAAAACTTGGCTTCACCTTAGAAAACACATATATGACTAAAAATATCGAATCCGTTGAATATAAAAACAAAGTATTTGCGAGCTTTTATACCAATCAATATTTTAATAAAAAATCTGCATTGGTAATTGAACATATAAATACAGACGAATTTAAATATTGTGAAGATAAATCTTGGAATTTTGAAACAATTGACAAAATTTTAGGTATCACCTCATCACGTTTAAAAGTGTCAAAAATAAAACCTCAAGAATTACAATTAAATTCAGTAAACCGAACCTCATGGATTGAGAACTTAACAATTCCAAAACCGAACATAAAACTAAACGCACTTAAGTCGCTATTTAATATAAGTTTCTTTAAATAAAATGACTTTGTATTTGCTTTATAATATTTATTTTCTACAAATAAATAATTAATTCGAGTGAAGTTCATGATTTACATTTATAAGCTAATTATTAATGCTAATTATAATAGCATGATTTTCAATTAGTTGAATTTCTTCAATCTCGTCAATTAATTCGAGTTTTTCAATTCTTTTTCTTTCTTCGGCATCGATTTGTTGATAATAATCGTTTAACGTGATAACCGACACTTTATCTTCGAAAATTTTATCGACAAATGATTTAAACAAAGATTTTACAAATTTAATTGAGTTCCATTCTTTCGGTGCAAGGATAGGAGAACCTGCAATGGAAAAGTTGTGTTCCATTGCTTTGCCAAATTTATCCTGAACGTTAAATATATCAAAACTGATTAATGCGCTTTCTTGATGTGTCAAAGAATGTTCACTTATACTCTGGATCATTTCTCGTGTGAGGTATGTGAAAAAACACTCACAAATTGTAATAGTCGGAATTTTAATATCACATACTTTCGTATATATATAATCGAGATCTTTGTTAGTAGTGATATGCAAAGGAACATATGTACAATCTATATTAGTTAATTTTAGATGCTTCATCGCCACTTTTAATAGTTCGACTATTTTAGCTGTATCAACATTGATTAATAAAATCTTTGTATTGTCATATTTTTCAACCAAAGTGTTGAGGTATAAATGTAATGGATCTAATCCACAACCAAGATTTACAACTTGAAGTACATTATTGTTCAACGAACGTGTGTTAATAAAATTTTTAAGCTCATTTCTGATAGCTGCCATTCGAGTATAATATGCTCGATTTATAGTTGGTAATTTTGGAGCAACCTCTACTAAATTTTTTGGTAAATAAGATAAATAATTAGTCAAACCTTGGTATTTAATGTATCCAGCATATATACAGCTAAGTTTAGCTTTTAAAGCCTCTATAGAAGTTTGCTCAATTGGAGATAACTCAGATAAAATATAATCTGTAACTAATACGTTATCTAAAAACATATGTTAGTAACTATTTTTCCTGACTCATTCGAATAAATAATTGATTGAAAATAATTACCATTCTTTATAATATATAAACAAACAACACGTGAGCGCCGGAAAAAGTAAAAAATATTTTAATTGATACAAAATAAAAATAATATATTAAACTTACCTGACGCTATTTTAAGGTGATCAATAAGGCCTTAAAATAATGACTGAACAACCATTGCACACAGGTATTGTGATGTCATTTGTGTGTCGTTATGGTAACACAAGCGTATAATTTATTACAGGCTATTTTCTGTTGTTACAGTATAGCTTCAATTATTTTTATGAAGTATAAATTAATATTATTATATCCTGATTCCTTTTGTCTTGCCTCGGAAAGTGATTTTCCTCAATGTATCGTTTGTGTTCAAGGATTTTGCTGCTCCGAGGTCCAACCGATGGTTCAAGGAAAAAAATTAGAACATCTAAATGTGATTTTACGAACAAAACAATCCTATAAGAAACAAAAATTTCAAAATTTTTTAAACTCCGTGCGTATAGATCTTTATGATTGGTATACTCAAACGTCAAGAAACCATACATCTGATTCTGTTTTAACTTTATTCCGGACTTTATTAATAAATAGTCAGAAAACTAAATTAAAAATATTAAATGAAGAAAATCAGTTTAGTTATATGTAAAGCTATCGTTTAAAATTATTTAGAAATGAAAGTTAAAAGATATGTAAGCCTTTTTCTAGTTTTCTTTTGTTTTTTATATTACTCTAGTTTTTTCCCATTTTCTAATTCCTCGACAGATTGCGATAAACTAAAATCATTTGACTTACTTTTTTCAGAGAAAAAAAACGTTAATCTTTTCCCAAAAATAGTCCAAACCGTAAAAATCATTGATGAAATTATATCAAATCAGAATAAACATATACTAGTAGCGTTTAATGGAGGGAAAGATTCTATAATTACCTTGCTCTTAGTAAGAAATAGGTTAAATACTATTAATAAAAAAAGAAAAGTAAACAATAAATTATCGCTGTATACATTTGATATCTCAAATTATAATACTTTTAAAGAAATTAAGTCTTACAAATCTATGGTCATTTCTTGTTTGGGGCTAAATCATAAAACATTTGTCGGTGAAATGAATAAGTCTATGTATAAAAAAGTTGAAAAATTTTATAGAAAAAAATTAAATGATGAAAATTTGCTGATAGCTTTAGGCTGTAGAAGATGTGACAACGAAAACTATCAGCTGATTCAGCCAGGTTCATATAAAGAAACAAACTTTGTGAGATTTCACCCAATTGTTGATTGGAACTATCAAGAAGTTTGGCAATTTATTCTTTATTTTGGAATTCCTTTTTGTTCACTATACTTGAATGGTTACTCATCAATTGGAGAAAAAAACAATACAAAAAAAAATAAATATCTGGTAGATAGAAAATTAACAGCATTTCACTTGCCACAAGATAAATGGAATACAGAACGAACAAATCGCTTCTAACCAACAGTACAGTTCTTCATTGAGTCGCATTTGACTGGCTGATTTTTTATCAGAAGTTTATGACTTTTCAACAAGACAAATCCTTCGTTGTCAACTACAAACTTATCTAACAATGTGCTGACTGAGTCATTATTTTTCTTCTGACTTAACACACTATCTGGTTCTCCTGACAAACCTTCAAAAGATACTACATCACCAACCTCAGCATGCTTAGGAGGTTCTAATAAAATTATCTGATCATTCTTTTTATTAAACACACAAATCACCATACCGTTAGATGTAAAACCTGCTAAATTTTTCGGTTTCAAATTAGCAAGGATAAAAACAGTTTTTCCAATAAAATCCTCTTTTTTTATATACTTACGCAAGCCAGAACCAATTAAACGAAGATTTTCTTCTCCAATATCAATCTTCTCACACCAAAGCTTATCACTTTCGGGATGTTCTATTACTTCAATTACTTTTCCAACTACAATTTTCCATCTCGTTGGATCATCTACTGGTCTCGTTGTTTCAATTTTTTTTTTGTTTACCTGAAATACGGGTAATGCTTTCATTCTTTTGATGTATACTTTTATATTTTCGTATTTAGATCTTTCAGAAATAGGACAATTGCGTATCCAGTAATCGTAGCACGTAAACAAAACATAATCTATTGATGTAGGTATCTTACCCATCAAAAATTGTTTATCACTTGCTTTTAAGTAATTATCGATTTTTTTTAATAAATTTTCAGTTAATAATAACTCATCATGCAATACATTTGTGCAAATAGATTTTAAGTCTCCTTCCATGTTTAAGGTATTGATAAGTTTTGAAAAAATTTTTTTAATGATTTCACTACCCTGATTTTCTTGAAGACCCTTTAGATAAGTGTCATATTCAATTGGATTTATGATATCAGTTTTTTTAAAGATATCAATTATTTTATTCAAGATTTCGTCTACGTACATTAAATTATTGGTAAATTAAGAAAAAAAAAATAAAACTTCTATATATGTTATAATGTAATCACAGTGTAAATTATTTGGTGTTATAAAATATTAAATTTGAAAAAAAATTGATCACACACGAGTTCTAGAACTAAAACAAAAATGAAAGTAAAACTAATCATTTCATTGGCTTTTTTACAATTGGCGTTAGGCCAGGGTTCTGGAAGTTATGAGTCATATGTAGTAAATGATCCACCTGCTGAAGTAATTCATAAAGACCCCTCTGAAAATTTATTTGAAGTTCAAATAGACTGTAAGGAAAATTTTTTTCCAATAGAAGACTTTAACAGTCAAAATGACAGCAATAAAGTCTATTTTGAGCCTGCAGAATTTTCTGAAGAATCAACAATGAAAAAACTTGGATTTAAAAAATTTGTATCTGTTTTTGGGCTGAGAATTATTGCTGATGAAAGTGTTAGTGACGAACAAATGGCTTATGTAGTTAAAAAATACTATTTATTACTAGTATCCAATGACGAGGGAAAGCCAGATAATGAGAACCTAGTTAAATATTTACGAGATAACAACGCATCAATTTTTATTGTTAAAAGCTTTGATGTTATCCAATCCGCCCTCAACGAAAATGACCCAAATTCATTTTTCTTTAAAGCTCATTATTGTAATTTACCGATTGATTTTGAAGAATCTTCTAGGATCCAACCAAATGGTCAGAAACAACTTGCGAAAAATGAAGAAAACGATGAAACTAAAAATGACCGAACACTTGCAATTATTAGTGATCACGTAATAGGACGAGGTTTTTTCCAACTTTTCACAGAAGAGGAATACAAAACATTTGAAGAAAGAACGATTTTAGCAGTAAATGAAAAACGATTCTACCCAGAAAACGCAAGCTGTCCTCAAGACGATATTGTTTGTGCTGTTATTATTTATCTCAGCTGGACATTTTCATTAGTTCATGGCTACGATAGCGCCTGGTGTTCCGATTTCAACATAATGCCGGTTTGTTCTAAAAACGAAATTATAAAACATGAACCTTATATAATTAATTTGTTGAATCAACACTTTCCAAATTTCAAGGTTAATTAATTTTTAATTTTATAACATGATAGTAATTTTTTATTTCATCATTGATATAGTCAAACGATTGTCTAATTAAAAAAGATTATGACAAAATCTCAACTGAGTTAATTGAAGTTTGACCCTATGACATTTACAAACGCTGGATAATAGAGAGAAACAAGTTTCGGATTTTTTCTAGTGACTTTTGTATCTGAGATGTTAATAATTTCATTATAACAGGCAAGAAAAGTATTTTTCATTTCTGTCATCAATTCATTATGAAATTGAAATATGGAACCAACTACAATGAGGCTAAAACTATTTAGAGTGAATTTTAAAACTTACAAATCACAGTTGTTTGAAATGAGATAAAGTGTTAGTATATGACAAAAATCTGAAATTAGACTGGTAGTAATATTATTGACAGTTTCCAATTCGAAAATACGCTTTATGCCGCTTAATGTAGCCGCTCCTAAACAAGTACCACCTATACGTTTGATTTCTAACTGTTCGTCAATTAATAATAATGATGTGCCAGTTCCGAAACTAGCAACCAATATTTTCTTACCTAATAATTGATGCTCTTCTTTGGAATTCCCGTAGGCGTACCAATTATTTTTAATACAGGTAATAACGCCAGATGAAAGAGCTGTCATTTCGTCGATCTGACGAAGTGTCAAGTTACTGTCAATGCTGAGTGTTTTATATATAGAATTCGCCTTTATCCCTACTAAAATAATTTCATCAGATATGTTTAAATCGCGAATGAACAAAGTTAAGGCGCGAGAATCATTTCTCAAGTCTGCTATAAGTAAAAGGCAATCATTGTCATTATCCAGCATCAGTTTGCAAGTTAATTTTATCTTCGACGCTATAAGTTGGTTTTGATGTATATGAGATATTAAAGTCTCAAATTTGTCTGACTGAACAAATATACCTATCTTAACTGAAGTAGCTCCATAATCTATCGCCACTTTGGTAACATTCATTTCACCTTTAATTCTGTTTTTATAATAAAAGATTTGTAACTGAAAAAAGAAAATAATTAACAATTATGATATATTAAGTATTTTTTAGTCTGAATCTGAAAAAAAAATAGAATTAGACTGTTCACCAATTGTTCCACTACCAGTCCAAACAGAATTTTTTTTTTTCCGCTTTTCTTTGTTGAATTTTTTTCCTTGACATGAAGAAAATTTTTCTGCAGTTTGTTTATTATAACTATTATTAATGACCATGAGTTTTTGTTTTTTGAAGGATTCTAAATTAACATTATCGGTAGGATTGATTCTTTTGAGTTCAGCGATTTTGATCTTTTTTTTTTGGTCTTGCGCATTGTTTTTACACGAAATTTGATCGTTATCATTTAGGTCTGCGCTTAATATTAATTTATTATCTGACACGTTAGAATTTTCTATTGTAGTTAACTCAGATTGTTCCGCAGGTTCAGCAGATGTGGGAACTGATTCTAAGTGTTTTGTTTTTTTTTTCTTTTTTGTTACTTTGGATTTCTGTTCTGTGGAACTCTTTTTATAAGTTTCGTATTCGATTTCGATTTTATTAAAAAGTCGATCTAGGCGTAAATCATTTCCTTCGACATGAGCAAAATCAACCCCATATTCCTTTTGAAATCTTTTGGCAGTCTTCAAAAAATCATTTTCATTTAGATAATTATACAAGGCTTTTGCTAGTTCCGGGCTTAACTTTTTTTTTTCGCCGTTAAAATTCATAATTTTGTTTTAAGTTATGAAAAAAAAATAGTGCTTGAAAAATTATTTAGTCCAGACCTGGAACTTTAATTTCGTAGTACTAAAATAAATACAAAATAAATTTAAAGAAATATTTTTTTGTAAGTCTAATTTATTATTATTTCAAAATAAAAAACTAATCGTGTTTATGCAAAAAACATTTTAGAGCATATATGAAGCTTGATTCGGTTAGTCCACACAAGAGAGAAAGTTCATTGTTGGCGAATTACCGCAGGCGAAAATCGATAGAAGCATTTTTTGTGGCAAAGACTACAAAACGGGTTTGCAAACTTAACAAAGAAACTAATAAAAATCATACAAGCGATTCGGTTGAGAACTCTAATTTTTTTAAAGCTGCATTATATAATGAATCTCCATTTATAAAAGAAAATAATGATAATGAATTAGATAATGTTCAAAAATTACATTTTAAGTATACTTGCCTTCGAGCATTTCGGGATAAATTTATGCCACTCTGTGACGCGTTAAAGAATTCAAAAGAAAAGTTGTCGCCTTATTCACCCATTCCGATTACAAGAATTAGTAATTTAAGTATTCTCTCTGATTACGACAACGTTGAAAGTAAAAGAATATGCCACAGATGTAGTTGCGGCATACCAGATGATTCATTTTTTCAAAATGATATTAAACCGATAAGAAGAAAGCGTCTAACTTTATCTGCAACTGAATGTATCATTGAAGATTCGTTAGAGGAAGAACTACAGAAAAAATGCGTAACTGACTTGCTTTATTCGCTAGTGGATAAAAAACGCGGCTTTGTTAGATACGCAAATTTAAAAATGATCAGACCACACATCCGATCTACGGATTGGTTTTGCGTTTTTGGTCGAAGAATAGATGCATTAGATAAAGATTTTCTTACTGAATCAGTTATTGCCTATACTAGTCAATCTACTAGGCGGATTCGCGATTACCATTACTATTCTAATTTGATGAATTCTCATGATATTGCGGTTATTTGCAAAAAAGGCATTAAGTTACAGTATACAAACCAAGACGATTTTTTCATTCTGAAAACTCCTGAATATGCACTTTATGGAATTTTTGACGGTCATGGACAGCATGGACACTTAATAAGTAATTTTGTGCAGAAACTTTTGCCTTATTTAATATTAAGTGACGCCGAGTTCGAAACTAATATTCATTCTGCTATGACGCGCGCTTTTTCGCAAACTCAAGAGTTGATCGAAATAACGTCTGGTCACATAGTCGGAGGTTTCAACGCTAAATTAAGTGGAACTACGGCCGTTATTGTACTTGTTAGAGGAGAATCAATTACAGTTGGTCACGTTGGAGATAGTAGAGCTATTGTAACGAAGAAAAGTGGCAAGAACGTAATTGGTGTTTCTTTAACTCAAGATCATAAACCAGAAATGCCAGAAGAACGAGCGAGGATTGAGCAAGCGGGCGCGTCAGTTAAACTTTTGGAAGGTGATGTGTGTCATCGAGTTTTCGCTCCCGGTGTTAAGTTACCTGGTCTTTCGATGTCGCGTGCTTTAGGAGATATCAAAGCGTCAGTGTGCGGGGTTTCTTCAATCCCTGCAGTTAACACATATAGAATTGACCCTGATGATTTGTTGGTAATCCTGGCTTCAGACGGAGTTTGGGAATTCATTTCTACTCAGAAATGTGCTTCGATCAGTGGTAGGCACGGTCCTAAAGAATCTGCTGGTAAGTATTTTTTTTTTCAAATTTTTTTAGAATTGATTATTAAAGCTTCTTGTGAAGTATGGTTAGCTGAAGAAGGTATCGTTGATGATATCACTTGTATTTGTGCTAGCTTATAATTTTTCATACATATTTCTTTGCATTAAAGCTAAACTGCTTAAATTTGCAAGCACACACGTGTTTCTATCTTACCATTACGTACCATGCCTGGCTGTGAACTTAGTTTGAGGATAATTAAACTAGAAGAAGCTGTTGAAAAACTCCAGCAGACCGTTATTTTAAATCAGGAAACTTGTATGAGTGCTATTTCTTTAGTTTTCGGAGAAATCAAAAATATTTACACTCGGCTAAAAACAGATAATAATTTAGTTAAGTACGTTAAAAAAAAATTTAACTTTTAGAATTTACTCAAATTCTTCATTAATTGAAAATTTTTCGGGCAACAGCAAGCAAATTGATCCTGTAATATGCAACTTGATTTCTTTGTCGAAGTCCAGTGAGTTAACTGACCCTGTTACTAATTTGAACCAATCTAGCTTACCTGAATTATCTTCTCCTATTCGAAAAATCTTGGATCAAACTTCAAAAATTTACTCTGGCTTACAAACTAACAACCACAGTATTGATAAAAAACATGGTGAACTCAGCGACGCAGACGAACACATACATTTGCACGATTCTCGTGGCAATCTACGATACGACGTTATTCAAGATTTAGAAAATCATTTGCATCAAAGTAGCAACAATGCTAATGCTTACTTGGCTAATCTTGATAGTTTGAATGCAGTATTGGATGGAAAGATAAACAACACTGAAAAAATGAACAAATCTAGTCCTTCCGGAGCTTTTTTCGATGTGAATTCCAAGTTGTTGTGGGTTGAGAAACAGATTCTTGGAGAATTGAAACAAGACATCAAATTTCTAAACTCGTGTTTCCTACTTAAACAGTGGTATTGTTTTGTTTGCAATACAACTGTTATCAATGAAAAACCTGGCGTCCATTTTTGCTATTCGCGCGTTTCGAAAGGTGTCGTTTGCAATTATTGTGGGAAATTCACTTCACGAATGCCGGACTTACGTGTCCACTTCAGAAAAATTGTTTACTGCAAATTAACAAGAAAGCATTTAGAAAGTCAGTATTGGAAGTATTTAAGTTACCTCGTTAATAAAATTAATTCTATGGGAAAGCAATCCGGTTGTACGATTGACCTTGCAATACCAGAGAACGTTGAATCAACAATTTTAAATGAAAATGCTTTAGAGATGAAGAAAATTAACAAAAAAGTCGTTAGTGATTAGCATTTTTTAAACCATGATATTAGCTGAGTTCAATATTTTTCTTATGATCAATGATTTTTATTTTGTTGACGTGTAGCTCGTAAAATTTTTGTAATAAATAATTAAAAATTCACTTTCATGATATAACTATATTAATTAATTTATAGATGGTTGGAATCATTTATGTTTCGAATCTACCTAGCTTAATAACACCAAAAGAAGTTCGAACTTTGTTTGAAAAGTCAGGAAAAATCACTAGATTGTATTTGAAATCTCGGAATGAGTCCGAAACTGCGAACAAATCAAGCTCAGTGAAGAAGTTAGCAAAAAAAAAAAAAAATTTTGATGAGGGCTGGATTGAGTACGAAAACAAGCGAGATGCGAAGAAAGCAGCGCGTTTATTTAATCAACAAATGTTGAGTTCTAGAAGTAAGTCGCAAAAAAATGAAGTTTTAATCCATGTTACATATTTAAAAGGTGTCGAGTGGAAGGATATAAAGAACTATGGCTATCTTAAAGCTCATTACCAACGTGCAAGAATTGTCAGTGAAAAATCGCTTAGAGACATCGAACTTAATAAATATCTCGAGGACAGATATGAACACAAGAAACAGATTCAGAATAATACGGTTAAATAATTAAGTAATAATGTGATTTTTCTTTTTTTCGAAAAAAAAATAAGTGCCTGTGAATAATGCTTAAAATTGATGGTTAAGGCAGAAAAAAAAAATCACACGTTTATAGGATTCTATGAAACTCTTAGACACTTAAACGTTAGTCCATATGCTGCGTTTTTTAATTTTCAAAAACAAGATGGACTACGTGTACACTCCCTTAAACCTTTGCACGACTCCAGTGTAGCAGCTGACGATACTTACGAATCGTATTTTCACGCTAACCTTGAATTTCAATTAAAAGAAGTCAAAGAAGAGTGCTTTAAGCAGCTTTACTCGGCCATGTCTCCATTATGTACCAACATTGTGGGGATTTTGTACTATTCCAAAGAAATTTACGCTAAAATTATCTCGTGTATAATTGATGCTAGAAGGTTTCCGTGTTTTTTGTTTGGTTTGATTATAGCTTTGGTGCGAGATTTAAACAGGAACATCAATTTGGAGTTTTTGTGCGACGTTATTAAACTTGCGTTTTATTTCTTATCTACGCTTTCGAATTCAGCGCTAATAGTAGAGCTATTAGAATTTTTAAGCTACCTTTTGTTTGTTTTTAGCGACTATCACCGAGATTTTGACAATATTTACGTCGAAACTTATGTTCAGTTTTTTCTGCATTCCAAAAAACCGTATGTTCGAGAATTTTCTGCTCAATCGCTTGGATACGCTTTGCGAAAAACCGCGAACGATAAAACCTTACTTAGCAAAAACGTAAAAAAAATAATTAATACTGTTATTTCAGAAGATTTAGCTCATAGCGTTTTCGCAAACTTGGTGTTCGGGTTAGAGTTAGATACTAGTGCAACCTTAAATGAAACACATGAAATTGATGATGAATGTTTTGAAAGCAGTTTCAATTCGACTGATACCAACTCAGCAGATGATGCGTTTGCCTACCACAATATGAATTTGAAAAAAATTATGGATGTTATTACTGCATCTAGAGAATGGAGTCTGAACAAAGAAAAATTTCACGACTATGCTTACATTTTTCTTTCTTGTTCATTCAACTCAAAAACTAGTTTCGATGCTAATATAGTGTTCACTATACTTGATTTTTTCTCTCAGTTTTTTGAAAACTATTCGTCTGACAAACCTGATCAGTATTACATCTTCTGTTCAATTTTTTATTACTACATTGTGCTTATGAGAAATCACCTAAAGGAATGTTTAGAAGGTAATTTGGAAAAATTTTTAGACTCAATATGTAAATCTAACTTACCGTTAAGTTTTAAACGTTTGATCCATTATTTATTGTTAATCGCTGAATGTGATTGGAAGTCAGAAAAAAATGCTCTTTTATTTAATTACTACAAAGAATCTAAATATAAGGAATCCATATATTACTGCTTGGCAGCGCTAATAATTAACGACACAATGCTACCGATTGAAAATCGAATTTTGCTTTTGAAACGCTCGTTTC